CCCCCTCCCTCTCTCTCTCCCTCTCTTTGTCAGTCTCTACCCGACCTATCCCACCTTGTCTGGTTTACGGAGAGAACTTTTTGGGCAGCATATACGCTTTTTTCGAACATAAGTGTTCTGATCTTAATGTGTGATATGGATAGCAGAAGGTTCATCGTTTTTTTCCTTCTCCTTCTTCCTCGCACTCTCTTACCCTCTGTTTTGGAGTATTACGAGGAGATTCTTTTCAACGATATGCGATCTTTCTTTCAGCTGCCTACGCTTCGATCCAGTAATCGGAAGCGCTGGAATGAAAGGCTGGCCGCATATTAGTAACCCTGGTTCCTTCCTTCTTTTGTTTTTTATTCCTTCCCACCCCTCGATGTGAAACAATGTGACTGCTGCCTTGAGAATGATGTAGCTGTCGAAAAAGGTAGACATCCTTTCTTCCCCATCGCACCCTCGGGTCTTTAATAATACGGCTTCTTAAGGCTTTCTGCCGAAGTCGGCAATAAACCCTCCCACCACCCGAATGCTAAGCCCTGTGCATAATCCCAAATGGAAGCACAAAACCTTTTTCCCCCTTGTTCCCCTTTTTTCTTTATTCCTTTTCTCTTTCTTTTTTCTTTAATCCCTTTTTCTGTTGTACTTCATATCAAAACTTATTTTCTTTCCGGTCAAAAGATATGCGATCTTTCCTTCAGCCACCTACGCCTCGATCCTGTAATCGGGAGCACTGGGGTGAAAGACTGACCGCATATTAGTAACCATGGTTCTTTCCGTTTCTTTCGTTTTTCCATCTTGTATTCTTTGTTTCTTTCCTGTGTCCTCGCCTTCCCCCTCTTTTCTGATCTTTAATGATTAAACGATGTGACTATTGAACTGATGAATGATATTGTCGTCCAGTGAAGTAGTCATCCTTTCTTTCCCATCACGCCCTCGTCCCAATGAAAGTACGGCATAATGAGGTTTTCCGCCGGAATCTGTGAGAAACCCTCCGGCCGCCTACACGCCAGTCCTATAGATGGTCCCTAATGTGAGCACAGGGATAAAAGACGGATCGCATCTGCGTGCCTTGATCCCCCTTTTTTTGCTGTCAAAGTCCCCCTTCCCCCTTTTTTTCTTTCCGTCCTTTGAAAAGCAATATGACTATGGTTTTTTGGCCCGTTTTTTTTCGCCCTGACTCTTGCTTGGAAGTGGGCCCGCATCTGCATTCCAGTCGGAGATCTCCCTTTTGCAGACCTCTTCTTCATCTCTCATCTATATTGCTCTATTCTTGGGTGTCGTGTAATAAGGATTGCATAGTAATCTGCTCCTGGGGAAGGTTCCACCCCCCCTGACGCAGGAATTATCCAGCCTTACGTAGAATATCGAGTGAACGGGCAACTAATCTCTCACGCAACTGCTCTCCGGCTTGATAAAAGCCCTTGAATTAAAAGCATCGTTGCTGAGAAACGGGTAGCAGTTCCAAATATTTTTTTTCTTTTGGTCTTTTCTCCTTCTTCCCTGCTCCTTTCCGAACTGGACCAGTCTCGTGCATATTTCCACAACCCAAAAAGTGGTTTCCCTCTTCTTAATCAGATGCTAATACTGTACTTCTTGCCGACAATTTAGCGTGTTAACTCTTAGTCTTTTTTTCTGAGGATCCTTAAAAACGAGCACAAGATATCCTGCACTCTCTCTTTTTTATGAATCACTGAGATCGATCCCCGATGCACACACACACACACACAC